GGGAGTACTGGGTGAGCACAGAGACAAGGTAGGGTCTGCATTGTGTGTGCATCCAGGGAGGGGCCTGGGCAGTGGCCTGCAGAGGTGATGCACTCTGAGGGCATGTGTGGACTTTGGCTAGAGGGAGCATGAGACAGCTAGAGCACAGGGTAGGACCAGAAGAACCAAAGACTGTCCACACCAGGAGTGCCTTGAGTCACAGCCGGGGTGGCTTCCAGCTGCTTTCACTGAATGGCTTGTTGGCTGGACAGGGAAGAACACTAGGGAGCAGCTCACTTGTCACTCCCTGCTGGGCAGGGTAGTGATGCTCCCCAGACAGTGCTGGGATGGGGAGGGAAGGCAGAGGGCAGAGCCACAGCCTACAGATCCTAGGAACTTGTCCAGTCTATACAGACTAGATGAGCCCAGTATTATATATAGTAGGTAACTTCTCTGATAGACTTGTTTACAGCTGCTGTTCAGGGGAACTGCTCAGTGCCCTTGTGCTAGTTGTCAGATGTTTTGTGTATTTCTCCTGCTCCCATGGAGTTCAGTCAGGAACTGAGGTCCAGAGAGGTGGAGACACTTACCTATGTTCCTACAGCTGATAAGCGGTAGAATAAGAAAATGAAACCATCTCTCTCTGTCTGTCTGTCTGAGGACTTATCATGGTTACTGCTTCAATAAACGTTCACTGAGCTCCTACTGACCATGTGATGGAAGCTGTTGGTACAATAAAGAGTATAAACCAGCCCTCAACTTTGACCTAGAACCACCCCCCCCCCGGTCGTTTTTCAGGTGACATCAGCGGGAACGTTCAAGGACGTTGGGTGTGTGTGAACACCCTCTTTGTGCTCGGAGAGCCACTCCCGTGTTTGCCCATGTTTGCTCACATTCTTGCAGAAGTGGCTAACTCATGCTTGTCCCTAAAGGCTCAGATTGCCATCCCAACTCTTGGAAGAAGGCTGGAGCTCAGGCAGGTCTCCAGGGTACTGGGACAGGCACAGGGGTGACAGTTGCCGCTGCTGCACACTTTCCAGGGCCACTTGGGGAAGGGCCCTATGTTTCTCACTGCTGGTTCTGTGTCATGTGGGCTGTTTTCCTTTTCTCTCCTCCCTATCTGTCTGTCTGTCTTTCATAAATATTTATTAAAAAATAATTTAAAAGTGTGAATGTACCCAACTTAGAGGAAGAGTTAGACCCCCTGGAACTGGAGTTGCAGGCAGTTGTTAGCAGCCATGTTGGGAAACGAACCCAGGTCTTCTCCAAGACTAACAAGTGCTCTTAGCCACTGAGACATCTCTTGAGCTCCTTCTTCCCAACATTCCTGACTTTGCTGGTCTCTCCATGGAGGTACTTGGCACAGCCATCAAAAACATGGGCAAGAGAGGCAGACAGGACCCAGTTTCAAATCTCTGCCACTAACTCTAAGACCTTAGGTGGGTGATGAGCCCTCTTTATACTCCTGTTTCCTTTCTATACACTGAGAACAGTCCATCTTGGCTGGTTGTTGGAGAACTGCAATAATACACCCATCTCAGATTCAGTTTCTAGAAGCAGAGCCTGAGGTCTGGTTTCTTGTGACAGGAGAAGGCTCTCAGGCAAGAGGGTGGGGAGGCAGGATGTGGCAATGGGGCCACATGGTTGCCAGCCAAGACATATGGGCGTTGGTCCTGGTTTGAGGACAAGGTTTTGTCTCTTAGTTGGAAACTTGTTCTTAGCCAATGCTGAGGCCATTCTCCTGGTAGGGCCAGGACCCCCACTGGTCCAAACCTTCCCAGCCCCTAGGTTTGTTTCTATCCTGTATTCACTTCATGAGGCAGCTCCGCCGAGGCCTATGTCAGAAGCTTGGGTCGAGAGGTGACAAGGCCACTGCCTCTGCTCTTTGCATCATAGGTGCCAGCATGTAAACATGCGTGTGTACACCTGCATGCATACACATGGATGTGAGTACAAGGAAACATAGTGCCACGCCAGAACAATGACATGATTGTTGGAAGGGGCCATATCTATGTAGAGAGAGCCCAGAGGAGGGAGAACCTACATTGGGTCCAGAGGAGTCAGAGGGTACTTCTGGGAGGAGGCAGACCTCAGCCAGAAGGACAGAGGGACAGACAGACAGGCAGGCATCCTAGAAAGAGAGCAGCTTTGTATGGAAGACCTTGTCTCTGTGACCAAAGCCATTGTCTTCAAAAACTGCATCTTCTCTGAACCCTCCTGGGACTCACCCAGCAAGAGGGAAGGCCTGACAGGACTCACCCAGCAAGAGGGAAGGCCTGATGTAACCCAGTCCCTGGCCCAGCACCTCCTCCTGCAGACACAAGTGTGCCTTGCTGAAGAGCGAGGGAGGCCAAGGAGGGAAAAAGCCAGGACTCTGCTTTCTCAAGCCTTCTTCCTCCTCCCAAGCCAAGAACCCATCCATGGCGACAGGTGTTCTGGAGGCCAGAGTCACGGTGCTGATGGCTGCCTCCCTTGCTCTCTTCCAGGTCACCTTGACACCCTACATGCCAGAACCTGGGGACGCATGCCGGGACCCGAAGGAGTACTACAACAAGAAGGTTCAGATGTGCTGTGCTGCGTGTCCGCCCGGTGAGAGGCAGACGCTGAGTGTTTGGACAGTGGCGCCATGGAGAGAGTGCTTGTCCAGGGGTGGGAAGAGGGCCTTCTATTCTCACTGGGCTACATCCCAGGGCCCGTTAGTCATCCTGCCCTGGGCTTTTGTATGTGCTGTCCCTCTGCTCATCCCAGGGCCCATTAGTCATCCTGCCCTGGGCTTTTGTATGTGCTGTCCCTCTGCTCAGCACACTTCTCGGTGACTCTTCTTGGTTAACACATACCTACATTTTACACACTGTCTCCTTGTCCAAGAAGCCTGCTCCATACTGCAGTGATGGCCTGGTTCTTCCCATAGCCCTACCGTGTGCTCCTCTAGAGTAGAGACTGTAGCTTGGTCTCTGTGGAATTCCCAGCACATGACTGGCCCATAAAGGTGTCCTGTACATAATTACCAAGTAAATGAATGTGTACCCATTTCATAGATGGTGGATCTGAGCCCTAGCCTCAGTACAGAGGACTGAGTAGCTGGCCCTCAGGGCTGAGTAGCCCATCAAATGTATGCATTCACTTAAGTAGCATTCACAATGCACCTACTGTGTGTTCAGTCTGCTGGGATGATAACAGAATGCCAGGTAGACGTTCCTGGTCCTCATCCTACTTTCTTTCTTTCTTTCTTTCTTTTTTTTAAGTAAGATTTATTTGTTTTTATTTTACACATATGGGCGTATTGCCTGCATGTATGTCTGCATGCCACAGTGCCCTTGGAGGTCAAAAGTTGACATAAGGTCCTTGGAACTAGCAGTACAGATGCTCGTTAGTCACCGTGTGGTTGTTGAGAGTCTAACGTGGGTCCTCTGAAGAGCCACCGGCGCCTTTAACTGCTGGGGCATCTCTCCAGCCCATGTCTGCTCCTAAGGGTGGACAGACAGACTACCTAAGAGATGATGTGCTGCTTCTGCCAGGAGGTGCTGTGATGGAGAGAAGGCTAGACAGGCTGATGGAGACAGACAAGGTTGTGTGCTCCAGACGAGGTTGGGTGGTCCAGGAAGGTCTCTCTCAGCCCTGCAAGAGGGACAAGAGCAAGCCACACAAGCATACAGGGGATATCAGGCCAGGAAGTGAGTGGGAAGCCCCAAAGTGGAAGTCTGTTTAGTGAACTCAAGGAACCTTGTGGTTGGTGTGTGTGTCCCAGAGTAAACGGACAGTGTGATGAGAGAAGGGACGATGAAATGAGGGCGGCTGAGATGGCTCAGTGTGTTAACACACTTGTTGTGCAAGCCTCATGACCTGAGTTTGATGCCCTGAACCAACGGTGGAAAACAGGTTACACACACACACACACACACACACACACACACACACACACTAATATTCATTTGATTAAGTGAGATGAGCATAGTCACCATGAAGAATTCAGATTTTATTTACTGGAGGTGTTGTGCCATTTGCTTGAGACCCAGTGAGTAGGAACACAAGGACATGTATGTGTGTTACCCTCCACAGTCACTTTGAGAGACGCCAGGGACAGTGGCTTTTATATTGACTAGAAGAGGGTCTAAGAATAGCAGTGAGCTCGGCAGAAGAGGGATGGAAGAGGATCTGGCTTTGGAAGAGGAACAAACACTTTAAAGGTTTGCCCTGGTGTCCCCATCTCCTAGACTTTCAGGAGTCCTGTGCCCTTGGCTCTGACAGGCTACTATGTGTGACATCTTTGTTGCTACCCTTTCCTTATAGTTCATACACCAGAGTAGAGAATTTTAACCAACTGTCAAGAAGACAGGGGTTGGCAAACCAACTCTTTCTAACGTGTTATGGACTGACAGTAGGTTTTCCTAGTGGTGGTGTTTCAGCTACGTGGAGAGAGCAGAGAGGGAGGCATGTTCAGAGGTGGAGTTGGCTAGGGTCCAACAGATGTGTGATGAGTCCATGGAGGATCAAAGGTTTTCCTGGCTAGGGTTCAGAACCCTGGAATCTAAGACCTTGACTGAGACCTGTCTTCCACTGAGACTTTTGGTCCTTGTTTTCTCAGGCCAGCATGTGAAACACTTCTGCACCCAAACCTCAGACACTGTGTGTGCCGACTGCGAGGAGGGCACGTACACCAAGCTCTGGAACAGGCTTCCCACATGCCTGAGCTGTGGTTCTCGCTGTGGTGATGGTAAGTGGCCTGAGAGGGATGGTCCCAGCCTCTTTCCTGACCACTAGCCCTGCAGCCTAGGAAGGAGTTAACCTGGGCCAGTTGTTTTCATCTCCCTGGACCTGAGTGGCTGGGACTGCTCTTTACCTATGTATTCATGTGGCTGAAACCTGGGGCTTCATGTGGGTAGTACACACACTTTTTAACTGTGCTACACCAATCCCCTGATCTTTCTTTAAAATTTAAAAAGATGTATTTATTTTTATTGTATGTGTATGGGTATTTTTGGTGGCATGTAGTGCCCACAAAGGCCAAAACGGGGCATCAGATCTTCTGGAATGAATTACAGACCTTTGTGAGACACCATGTGTTGCTGGGAACTGAACCCAGGTCCTCTGCAGGAATAGCCAGTGTTCTCAATCAGTGAACCATCTTTCCAGCTGCCAACTTTGGTTTTATTTGCAGTTTTTGGGAACTGAACGTAGGGCTTGTGTTACTCTATCACTAGGCTACATCCTTCCTGAGCCCTTTACTTATGAGACAGGATCTTAAAATGGTTCAGGCTGGCTTTGAACTTAACGAATTGCCAGCCTCAACTTCCTGGGATTACAGGCCTGAGCCCTCCAGACACAGCTTTCAATTCTGTCGTGACCCGGAATGTCTCAGCTCCAAGCCACGACAGCCATGAGGTTCTGCCTGAGTGGGGGGGGTGTGGACCTGGAAACTCCTAGCAACCCAGCGGCGATAAAGACCAAACACAGCCATCCTTTTGCCTTAACTTCCCCGATGTTGGGATCACAAGTGTGTGACACCTTGCCTGGCCACTTACAGATGATATTTCCTTCTAGATCCCACTGAGTCTTCATTTGGTCTCCAAGGTGGGAGGAGGGGAGGGGAGAGGCCGCCTCTATGTCAGAGTTGAGAATGTAGGGCCTCGGAGAATAGAAGTGTGGTGAAGCTGGGATACAGACAACAGCCCCGAGAGACAATATGCACAGAGGCCTTTGGGTCTGTGCCGAGGGCCTACCAGCTCTGGCAGGCAGGGTAGAGCGGGTGAGTGAGACTTGACCCTGGCTGTCCTTCCCTCCTCCAGACCAGGTGAAGACCCAAGCCTGCACTAAACAGCAGAACCGAGTGTGCACCTGCAAAGCTGATATGTATTGCGCCTTGCCAACGAATACTGACAGCTGTCGACAGTGCATAAGGCTGAGCAAGTGTGGCCCCGGCTTCGGAGTGGCCGGCACAAGTAAGGACCCCTCTTCCTTTCCCGCATGAACACCCCAGAGATGTCTCAGCCTCATCTAGGAACCGAGCATCTGTGTATATGTCTACCGGCACCCCTGGTTAGGCACCTGCTGTGCATGAGGGTCTAACATAGATCCAGACATGAGTCATACTAAGCCCTAAGCTGGTAGGAAGTCAGATGGGGCAGGAAGATAACCCTGGGGAGCAGGTCCATGCAGGTGTATGGGCATGTGTGTACATTCGTGTGTGTGTGTGTGTGTGTGTGTGTGTGTGTGTGTGTGTCTATTGTATGTGTATGTATACAGATGTGTGTGTGTTAAGGGAGAGACAGTTACAAACAGGCCTCTCCTGTGACCCCAGTGCTAGGACACTCCTCACCTGGTTGCATGAAGTATTCATGTTGTTGACCCGCTCTTGATTTTCTCTTCAAGGATCTGCCAATGGGAATGTGGTATGCAAGGCCTGTGCCCCGGGGACGTTCTCTGACACCACATCATCCACAGATATGTGCAAGCCCCACCGCATGTGAGCGTTGATTTCCTGGGTTCTGAAAGAGCGGGGAAGGGCAACCCCTGGGTGACTGGGGCCCGGGATATAGCACAGCTTGTCACCTATTGTCTCTGGGGCTGAATTCTGGGACAGACATTGAATGACACGAGCCAGAGCCTGACTTGGAAGTAAGCTGGATAGGATGACTGGGGGAAACGTGGGCGTGGGAGAGAGTACCGCTAAGAAGCCATGGCTCATACTCACTGCTTGGCTATTGACATCCTTGTCCTCCAGCCTTGTTCCCTGGAGTAAGATCACTGTCCTCTGCAGCCTCCTGACCAAACCCTTCCTCCCTCAGATGTAGCATCCTTGCCATTCCTGGAAATGCAAGCAGAGATGCAGTCTGTGCATCTGAGTCCCCAGCTCCGAGCACCATCCCAGGAACAGTCTACGTATCTCATCCAGAGCCCACAAGAACCCAGCCTCTGGAGCCAGAGCCAGAGTCCAATCCAATTCCACCCACCTTCTCTGTCTTTGAGAGCTTGACCCCCCGTAGTGCACATAGCACCAATGGTGGCATCTCTCTTCCAATTGGTGAGTCCCCATCTCCAGAGTGACCTGTCCAGGCTTTCAAGTGCACAGTCTGAGCTATTGAGGAGGCTGAAACAGGGGGATTGCAAGTTCAAGGTCAACCTGGGCTACAGAATGAGTTCAAGGTTAATCTTGGTGTCTCAAAATAAAAATACATTTAATAAAAATGTATCCGATGAGAGAGTGCTTGACTAGTTTGGGGTTAAATACCCAACAAAAATAAAATAAAGTATAAAAAAGAGGCACTTTCTCTCCCTCCTTCTCTCTCCTTTTTTGCTTCTGGGAATTTCCATGTGGGCAAACCTGGGAGCCTGGGCTCTGTCCTTTAGAGCAGATACAGCTGTGGAGAAGCTGGGTCTCTAAAGGCCTGATGTTGTCACAGGGAATCCCTGGGTGGGATGAATGTGAACATAGGTTCTGGTTGCTGGTTCTCATGAACCCATTTGGCTTATGAGACTATGGACTGGTAGTGTATATGGCTTTCCTCCTGGCGTTAGCATGGCACCAAGCTGGAGGCCCCAGACTATGGCCCTCTGGCTGCATGTGGTTCACAGATGTTTATCTTTGATTCATCCCCGAATCTGAAGACTTCAGGCTGGACTTGTTGATCTCAGCACCAGCCCCAGCCACCTGGTACCTTCGTTTCTGACTGTTCTACCTTCTTCCTAGGTCTGATCGTTGGGGTGACAACTCTGAGTCTGCTGGTGATAGGTCTGGCAAACTGCTTCATCCTGGTGCAGAAGAAAAGTAAGGTTCTCCCTCCCTGTTCCCAGCCTCCCTGCTCCCCCTCACCGCTTTTCTGGGAACCTCAGGCCTGGGGGCGGGGGTGTCTAGTACAGAACACATCTAGAGACTACAGTGGCTTGTTCCCTAGGAGCTTAGAGGTTGGGGCAGAAGGTACAACCTCTAACCTGGCCACTGGAACGTAGTGTTGAGGCTATCCCAGGGGATTGACGTCTCTAGGACTCTGTGAGCTGGGCTGGATCTCCATGGATGGAGTGTGGTTGAGGCAAGGCTATATATAACTCAGGCTGGGTTAGAGGATGGCTGGGGGGCAGGGCACAGTGACTAAGAGTAGGATGGGCTCATCTGTGGGCCTTACGGGGCAGGTAGCTACCCCCTGGGCTGGGTCTGCTCCACTGGCTTGATCCTAGCCATGCTGTGTCCGTTAGGACACATGTGCTTAAGCCTGGCTCCTGACTTGTCCCTCTGTCTTCTTTGTAGAGAAGCCCTCCTGCTTACAAAGAGAAGCCAAGGTGGTGAGTATCCCTCTGTGGTCCTCCTCATCTCCCCCTTCCCTCTCCAGTTCCTTTTCTAGGGTACCGGGCATCATACAAGTACCACACCACAGGTATGGGGGTGCATACCTGTAACCCCAATAGCTGGCACAGATGAAGGTGGGAAGATCAGGACTTTCAATGCTCCCTCAGAGCCAGCTAATACCTAGCCACATTCCGGTTGGGGAGAAACAGGCTGGCTCTTCCCTGGCTGGGCATAGCCAGGCTCTTTTCCTGAACTATGCCCGACTCCTCACTGGTCCCCATGAGTTGGGCACCCCCCACTCCTCATTATATAGATGAGGAAAGGTAGATTTAAGGGCTACTGTCACTCTTGAAAGGGTTAAGAGTTAGGTCTGTGGTATGTGGTGGGGCTCAAAATCTCTGAGCAGATGGGTTTGGCAGACACATCGGAAACTGTAAACAGGCCTCTCCCATCAGGGCCTGCTCTCCAAGCTTCATCACCAGGAGTCGGAGAGCTTAGATACTGCCTTTTTCCCAGATCTATACCTCATCAGCCCCCTGCCTCGGGGCCCTCTTGGGAGCCCCGTGGATGGTGTCCTCATGTGCTAGAGTGAGGCCATCAGGCAGGACCTGGAGTGAGTGACTCAGCTCCTACTCCAGGGGCTGGGGAGGTAGAGTCATTCAGAAAAGCAGCTGGTGAATTCATCCACACTGTCCCCAGTCATGCGCATGGCCTCGTGTTTAGTCACCAGCAGTCATCGGGTATTGAGCTCATATCAGCACTGTCTGTGACACAGTCTCTGTGATTACTGTCCCCAGCTTTACAAAGAGAAAGATGCCATGGGACACGGTTCAAGCAGAGGGTTCTTTTTTGTGTTTTTTAATTAGGGAAAGGGATCATAAAAGGGGGGAAAGGGAGGGGGAGATCAGCCTCCGGAGACAGGAGCAGCAGGAGAGAGGAAAGGGGGGGAGGAAAGAGGGGAAGAGGAGAGAGGGGAACAGACAGAGAGGGAGAGAGAGGAAGAGAGAGAGAGGAAGATGGGAGGTGGGCAGGGCCCTTTTAAAAGGAAAAGTAATGAATGTGCACAGGTGGTGCTCTTAGTGGCTGCAGCTGAGGGTGTATCCTGTCAGAACCCCAAGGACAGGCCAGTGCAGATGCCTGGATACCAACAGTCCTGAGGCAGCACGGCTGATGGGCTCATGCTGGAACACAAACCTAGGCATGCATCTCACATGCTAGCATACAGTTACTAAGCCACTCTCAGGCACGCCCACGTGGCCCTACACATAGAGACACCCTTAGCTCCAAAGCCTACTGCAGCCAGCCATGCCTCTGTCAGTCCCAGCTCCATGTAACAGGGACAGGCCCAGAAATGTAGGAGGTGTCAGGCAAGCTGAGATCTTTGGTGCTCACTCAGTGGGGTCCCAGACTGAGTCACAGGACGGTGATGGTGTCTATACTTGAACATTGCAGCTTGTGGCTCTGAGCTGGGAGGTGGCTGTGACCTTTGGTTTTTGGTTTTTTTGTTTTGTTTTGTTTTGTTTTTTTCTGCTTGGCTCTAGCCACAGGCAGAGAGGGGAAGGCCCAGAAAAAAGGTCCTTCTCAGGAGCTGGTGAGTGTGACATTTATGAATGCTTCTGCGGGGCCACAGGGTAAGGCTGGTGCCCAAGGTCAGACTATGCATTCAGAATGCCTTCCATCCCTTCCCAACTAGGGTACCTGGCTGGCAGGATCCCAGGGAGGCAGGAGGTGTGCATTGCTTGCACACGCTGGCCTGGGTGATCTTGCTGAGCCCATCACAGCTATGTGATTCTGAGAAAGAGTTACCTGTTGTGGGCTTTGGTGGCCTCATGGGGAGAGCTTGTACAGGATCCTTCTAGTCCAGAGTCAGAACTGTGGACCAGGCAGGAATGGAGGCCTCAGGACACACATGGGCATCTAGGAAGCCATAGCAATAGTAGGCAGAGCCCCCCAGATGGCATATCAGTGACTTCTAGAGAGAGCACCAGCCACAGGAAGGATAGCTAAACTATTGCTTCTGAGCAGACTACACCTGGCATTGTGCCTTCCTCTGGAGGAAGGCCAGGGGGTTCCAGCCCTGGCCTGGCCACTTTTCCAGCTGGTGTGGACAGACAGTGGCCTTGGAATGGTATTTCCAGGTGTCCTCAACAAGGGTCACTGTGAAAAGGGATTTTGTCTTAAGCCTCTGGAGCTGAACCCCAGACACCCAGAAAAAGCTCAGTGAGTTTTAGCTTACCACACTGTATCCTAACTGTGACCTCGGGCAAGAAATCCAGTTTCCACATCTGGAGAGCAGGGTGCCACTAGGCTAGACTGAGCTCCTGAAAGAGCTGAGGTAGCTGTGACTCAGGTGCAGTACTTGGCACTAGGTACTCAGGTCACGTACAGTCTTGTTATCATTCTGTAAGAAGCCACAGGGAAGCCACAGAACATCCTCTGGGTGAACCATGGGAAGGGGGAGCTGAGATGGGCCAGTGAGGAGCCCTGTGAGTGGCCCCGGGGAAAGGGCTCCAAGAACCGAGCTGATTCATCAAACGGAAGGAATGGAGCGCAAAGGTGTGAAGCTTCCAGGACCAGGACGGGCCCCTGAGACAGCTACTTAGACTTGCCTGTAAATTAGGAAAGTCGCCCTTTGCAACTGAATGATGGTGGCTTGGTTGCACCAAACTTGTTTATTTGTGGGCACGAAAACTCATACTTTAGGTCTTGGGAATTTTGTTGCTTTAGACAGGGACTCATGTAGCCCATATTGGTCTTGAGCACTGGGGATGGCCTTGAATTTCTGTTGTCCCTGCCTTGCCTCAACCTCCCCACTCAGTCAGGGCTGGATGTGCAGACATACACCACCACACCTTGCTTATGCAGTGTTGGGGACGGAACCCAGGAGCCCTGTGCATAGTCTTTAGTCCTTCCTGTTCTTGCAGAAAAGGTGAGTTCAGTGCCCAGGACTCACAACCACCCGTGACTCCAGCTCCAGGGGACCCGATGCCCCTTACTGTCCAAAGACATCTGCACACACGTGTACCTACTCACACTAAGGCAAAAGTGTATACACACAATTGAAAATTTAAAAAAAAGAAGACTTAAAGAAAAAGAGAAATGTTACTATCTCTCTCTCTCTCTCTTTTTTTTTAAATTGGAACTGTTTAAAAGCATGAAGGTCATTCCTGGATGGCAGGCTGTGCCACCCTGTGAGTGGTACTTCTGCTAAGTTCTTATAAACAGTATCTAGGGCAGGGCTTATTACACAACTATCCTCGAAATTTCCAGATGTTTAGCTTTCCCTATAACCCTAGATGTAAGCTATAATTGTTCCTTTATATATGAAAACATAGAGGCCCAGAGAGGTTAGGTAGCTTTTTCAAGATCACACAGCCAGTGAGTGGTAGAGTTATGAACTTAGACTCAGGTGGTTTGGACTCAGAATTCAACTCTTAACTACCAGGCTGGGAACATCTCCCTACCCTGATGGATGACTTCAGAAAGTCGATTTTTCCGTTCCCTCGTGTGGACTGAGGGTATGGAAACAATGTGTGGCATGGGCAGAAATGTGTAGGCTGTGGAGCATGTGTGATGGGGGTGACAGGAGGGCAAAGACACCAGCAGGTGGGTTAACATTCTCCCTCTTTCCCCCAGGCTCACCTGCCCGATGAGAAGTCCCGGGGTGGTGCCACAGGCCTAGAGCAACAGCGCCTCTTGACCACAGCCCCCAGTTCTAGCAGCAGCTCCCTGGAGAGCTCAGCCAGCGCTGGGGACAGGAGGGCGCCCCCTAGGAGCCAACCCCAGGCAACAGCCACGGAGGAGGTCCGAGGGTCTCAGGAGGCCTGCGCAGGCTCCAGGAGTTCAGGTAATAGGCCGGAACCAGCTGGCTCCCTCCCGCCCTGTGCAGACAGGTGGTTCTCCACCTACTAGCTGAAAATAACCCAAGAGGAAAATGTCCTTAACACACCTGGCAACCGTGATGATTGGGAGCTTCGACTCTGAGCCGCTGCCTGTCCTGGGAGGGGAGCCTACTGTGTTTCACTGGTTCTTGAAGAGATCCAGGCTCACAGTGCTAAGCACAGCTTCTGTGGAATGTGCATGTCGCATTCCCACGGCTGCAAAATCTCGAGTCAGGCCTCTATAAGTCAGATTCGTGTGCATTCCTTGCCTAGTCTCTGCTAGTGTCCCACAGTTGCCCTGTGGGGCTAGCCTTGCCTGCCCACAGCTTACTTCTGTTCCCTGCTCCTGGGCAATACAGCCAATTTAGATTCTAGGTTCGGCCCCGCCTTGCCCTGTGTCAGTCCTCTCACTGGCTCACCCTTCTGCCAGACACTCCTGCTTTGTCTTTCAAGTCTCCCATATCGCGTGGGGAGTATTCCCACCCCACCCCCACGATGTCATTCCCAGCTGGTGTGGCTGTTCCTCAGGAATCCCCAAGGCTATGCCTCCCTTCCCCAGGATTGTCTGTCTCCTTCCTCCCTTTACTGGGCTGTGTGATTCCCAAAAGCCAAGATCCTGCTTACATCCCCAGGCCCAGAACTGGTCTGACTCTAGATTTTATTCATTTATTTATTTTCTTTTGAGACAGGGTTTCTCTGTGTAACAGTCCCGGCTATCCTGAAACTCCTGAGTGCTGGGATTAAAGGTGGCCTCCAAGGTTCATATATATATATGTGTGTGTGTGTGTGTGTGTGTGTGTGTGTGTTTTACCTGCATGTATGTCTGTGCACCATGAGTGGAAGCCAGAAGAGGGTGTCAGATCCCCTGGAACTGAAGTTACAGATGATTGTGAGCTGCCATGGTGGGTGCTGGGACTCTAACCCAACTCCTCCGCAAGAACAGCCAGTGCTCTTAACTGCTGAGCCATCTCTCTAGGCCTATTCTTTGTAGGATCTACTCACTATAGCTCACTGAGGGTCAATTTGGGTCAGAGGCACAATGCAGGGACCTGTTGCATTTACTTGGTCTGCATCTTACCCTATAATCTATAATCTAGGATAGCACTAGGATAGTAATTGGCATGTCTAGTGCCCACACTGGAATGAGTCCCCGGTGGGGTTCCCCAGAACCCTGGGATTTCCTTTGTTTTGTAGTGGGAAGGGAAGTTCTGCTGGCCTTTGTGCCCCCCCCCCCCCCCCGTGACACTGACTAGTGGGGCAATAGAAATAAACATGAACGTGTTTGGTCATTTATCCAGTGCAGCCTAACTGCCCTGGGGCCATGAGAATCCAAGCCAGCTCCTTAAACCCATGAGCCTCCGTTTCCTCTTATGGCGATGAGCTGTGAACCTCCTTGGCGTGCTGTTGAGACACTGACTGCAGCATTGCGGCCACATTGGCACCTGCCAGGGGACTGGCAGCCGCGGTCACAGCTGCCTCGCACACACAGCCTCTTCCAACACCCACATTCTGCCGCTCCACTGTCTGTTGCACCCTGTGCTTGTCCACACCCTGGCGACCTTCTCTGCCTGCAGCACCCCTGCCTCCTGCCCGCCCACAGGAGCACGAGTGTCTGTTTCTGCTTTGCCCCTCAGAGCCCCCAGCCTCACCAGCCTGTGATGACTTGTCAGGGGCCCTCAATACAATCTGAGGATTCTCTGGGCCTGTCCCGGAACAGAGCAGATGGCTCTCAACATTTGTTGAGTGAATACATGTGCTCAAATAGGGATGTGATTCGTCTTCCTTGGCTTCCCTTCTCCCATCGTGTCCCACTGTGGCTTCTTCCTTGGCCCCTGACGATTTTGTCTGTCCCTCCCCTTTCTCCTCTGCCTTCTGCTCTCCTCTTTCTTCTCCTAGATATTGTGTACCCCGTCTCCCTGACCTCCCCATTGCTTGGCTCTCCCCTTCCTCTCTCTTCCCTCTCTCTCCCACTGATACTTCTCTCTACTATGGGAGCCTGTCAACCCCAGAACTGCCCACCCAACACCGCAATGTTTTGTACATGTAAAGGTCATGATGACTTTGCATGACATTTGGGTGTTGTGGAGGCCCAGGATAGAGATTTCTTTGTTGTTCCTTGATTTCAGCCATTCCTCTCTCTGGTATATTTGAGGTTGCTCTGAGCAGAGTGGTTGGCCGGCTCTATCCTCACCCAAGCTTCCTTGGCCTCCGAATTCCTGGAGTCAGGAGTCAGGCTGAATAGCCAGCTGCCATTGCTATCGGCCCTGGCAGGTTCCGTAGACCAGCGGCAGTAGCAGCAGCAACTGACATACAACTGACATTTGGAGGAACTGTTGTGTGGCAAGCCCCTCGTGTCCACCCCTTGCTAGTCTGGCATCCAGTCCTCACCAACTTAAGAAACTTAGACACCCTGAGAGACCAGACAGGAAAATGGGTGGGCCGTCCCTGACATCTCTTCTGTTAGTGGCATCTGCCAGCTATCCCAGTGGTAGGGATCAAACTCCTCGTGCGTGGTAGGCAAGCCTTTCCCACTGAACTATGCCTCCAGCCCTGGAGCTTTAAAATAACCAACCCCTGAAGTTTAAATGTCTGTGGTCAATTTACTTAAAACCCTATTATTGCCGGGAGGTGTTGGTTCACACCTTTAATCCCAGCACTCGGGAGGCAGAGGCAGGTGGATCTCTGTGAGTTCAAGACCAGCCTGGTCTACAGAGCAAGTTCCAGGACAGCTTTCAAAGCAAAAGAGAAACCCTGTTTCAAGAGGGAAAAAAAAAGTACTTATATAAGATTTCTTTTTGTTTTCATTTTCCTAGTGAGTGTTTTGCCTGCATGCACATCTGTGCACCAGATGTGTGTCTGGTGCCCACAGAAGTCAGAGAGGGCACCTGACCCCTTGGAACCACAGTTACAGATGGTTGTGAGCCACCATGCAGTTGCTGGGAATTAAAAAGTCAGGACCTCTGGAAGAGCAGCCAGTGCTCTTAACCACTGAGCCACCTCTCCAGCCACACTTTTTGTTTTCTTCTTTTTGAGACAGAGTCTCGTGTATCCCAGGCTGACCTTGAATTGGCTGTGTAACCAAGAATAACCTTGAACTTCTGATCCTCCTACCTCCCAAATGCTAGAATTTTAGACATGTGCGATGATACTAAGTCTGTGCTGGGGACTGAACCCAAGATTTTGTGCCTGCAAGGCAAGCACTCTACAAATTGAGCCACATCTCCAGCCCTTCTGTACCCATTTAACAGCAGAGTAAACTGACAGAGGGAAAGTGATTGGCCAAGACTGAGGAACTCAGAATAGTCAATCTGCTGAGGGTCAGCATCCTAAGCCTCAGCTGCATAGGAAGGCAAAGTACCAATGCCCCCGTCTCAACTCCCAGATTCAGGAAGACCTAGGCAGCTGTGGACAGGAAGGGGTTCACTGAGAACAAAGATGGCATCAGAGTCAGGGACTGGCCACAGATAACGTGCCAATGATAGAGAGCTTTTACTGTTTGGTTGGTGGTGTGGCTGTCATGACCGACACCTTTCAGTGATTATGGGGGGGATGTTCTTTACCAGTCTTGGCCATGGCCAATCTCCTATAACTGTGTGCTGCTCACATGCCAGATTCTCTGGTAGGTCACAGTCTCTCTCTCTCTCTCTCTCTCTCACACACACACACACACACACAGGTCACATAGGCACAAGTGTGCTAATGAACCCATGTGTCTATGTCTAGAGGACAACCTGGGTATCATATTTGGGACACCATCTACCTCCTTTAAGACAAAGTTTCTCATTGGTTTATAGCTTACCAAATAGACTATGCTGGGGGCCAGCAAACCCCAGCTGTCTTCCCTTTATCACCTCCCAAGCACTGGGATTACAAGTTCTTGCCACCATGTCCAGCCTCCTTATGTGAGTTCAGGAATTGAACCCAGGTCCTTGTGCTTGCAAGACAAATGCTTAACTAACTGAGCCATCTCCTCAGCCCAGGGTTTTGTTCTTCTTGGAGCACAAGATTCTTTTGGGGGGGGCAGGGGGCATTTTCGAGATAGGGTTTCTCTGTGGCTTTGGAGGCTGTCCTGGAACTAGCTGTTGTAGACCAGGCTGGTCTCAACCTCAGATCTGCCTGCCTCTGCCTCCCGAGTGCTGGGATTAAAGGCGTGCGCCACCACCACCTGGCCCTTGGAGCACTTTATTCTGATTTAGATAATAGTTTCCTGTCGGCTACATGGAGAATTGGGCTGGGCAGCTGGGAGGTGAGCAAACGGCACAATGAGGGTTGATGATGTGTCTGGTGCCATAGTAGAAGTGAACTAGAATCTTTGGTTTCTTGGTCCTTGACTTACTGCTCTTTCCCACAATCTTAACCTGCCTCTGGGCCAAGAAGAAAACTGCAAGGACATCCCCACCCCAAGACCCCCAGACTCACACCCCCCTCCATCTTGTGCTTCACAGATTCTTCTCTCAGCAGCCATGGAACCCATGTCAATGTCACCTGTATCGTGAATGTCTGCAGTAGCCCTGACCACAGCTCACAGTGCTCTTCCCAAGCCAGCACCACAGTCGGGGACCCAGATGCCAACCCCTCAGGATCCCCGAAGGACGAGCAGGTTCCCTTCTCCCAGGAGGAGTGTCCTTCTCAGTCCCAGTGGGACGCCCCAGAGACACTGCAGAGCCATGAGAAGCCCTTACCCCTTGGTGTCCCTGATGTGGGCATGAAGCCGAATCAACCAGGCTGGTGTGACCAGGTTGCAGCCAAAGTGGCCTGACCCCTGCAGGGGCAGCACCCTGTAAATGGACCCCCAGTTCTAGACCCTCAATCCCCAGGACTTAACGACTCTTTCTGGGCCCATCTCCCTTAGCGGCCTCCCCAGCCCGACTTGCAGGTCAAGTGAGGGCTGAGGCAACCGTTGTGGTGGGAAACTTCTGCCATGGTGTTATATGGGGCAGTCCCAGCAAGTCCTTGCCCTTCTGTGACCTCTGGCTCTCCCGGGCTCTTGCCTGATTCTGGCTTCTGAGAGGCCCCAGTAGCTTTCCCTCCCAAGGAGCTAACATCCTCTTCCATACACTTGGGTAAAGGATAGCACAGCTCTTCAGCATGAATGCTGATACCACAGGGCGGTCCCAGCGGGAAGGAGGAAGTGGTGGCCTCATAGGGCACAGGGCCCTCGAGGTTAGTGCTGGACTCTTGGCAAGTACCCCCTCCAAACCCACCACCGCCCTTTTGATGCAAGAATCAGATGCACAGAGGCCCCGACAGGCAGGGTTTCTCTGCTTTATGGTGCTGGGGCTGTAACTCAGTGGTAGAGTATGCTGCTCGCACACCCTGGGTTCGATCCCCAGCTCCACAATGAGAAAGTGTGTACACACAGCTGGTTCTCATCCTCTGTCTTTGTCACTCCAGTGGGCACACAGAGGGCTCCAGCTCCTCCTTCTGACCTTTTAAGGAACCCTTCCAAGGCCACACCTTCCTTTCAGGGAATCTCAGGGACTGTAGAGGTCCCAGGCCCCTGCAGCCACCTGCCTCCTCCTACCTCAGCCTGGACCACTCCCTCTAACTCTCCAACTGCTTGGTACTGTACCCACGGTGATCCTGAGTGCATGTCTGTCTTATGCATGCTGGGCTGGAACAGCTCAGGGCATCAGCTGAAAGAGCCGATCCGGAAGCCCCTGAAGCCGCTACAATGCCAAAGGATCCATCCCCGTTTTCTAATCAACACGCTTCCTTAGCTAGCGTGCCCAGATCTGGAAGGAAATGATTCAGGAGACTCAGTCTCAGGTGCTTGGATTCCATGTTCACAGATTCCATTGGATATGAAGTTAGGAGTTAAACTACTGGAAGTCTGTTACCATCGAGACTCAAAAAGCTCAGCCCTCTGGAATCAAGACTTAGGACCTATTGGTTAGTTCTCTGCAGTGCATCAGACTGGAGAGGCTATGGAACACGTCTGCACCCTGGTGGCCAGTCCTGAGATGACCTCGGGCTTCCTCGGCAACAAAAACATGAATGGAACGGACAGTATCTGGGTGTTGCCTCCGTTCCCGTGCTTGTGTGGGCCCCAACAGGGTGTGCTAAGGAGCATTTTTGCCTTTATGCTGGACAGAATTAATTCCTGCTTATAAATGGTTTTTGTTGTTGTCTTGCACACTGATTCCTTGCCGTGTCTCGGGGCTGGTTTGGGGTTTGTCTGTGGCCTTGCTGGCCCACCTCCAGTGTGTGAGGAGAGATGGGGCTACGGTTAGTGAGGTCCAAGAGGTCCATGTAATGAATGGCTCTGGAACCTCCCACCCAGGCCACCTTACAGCTGCTCTTGCTGAGGGAACTTCCAGCCAGCTGGTCTCCAAGTATGCCCCTGTCTCCTGCCCTCTCACCTGAGTCTGGCCTCCTCACTGTGTTCTGGGAGGGAGGTGGTTTCTGCCATCTGGGAAGCCCACAACATGGGTCTGAGCAAAGGCTGTACCACAAGCCCATCCCTGGGTACCAGCTCAGGGCTCTGTGAGCAGAGGAGGGGTCAGGGAACAGTTTGAGTGGTGACCTCTGTCACATTCTTGAGAGATAAGCAGTTTTCCAGAACTTCTCTTTCTCTCTCTCATTTTTTTTTTGTATGTGTGTGTGTGGGGGCGGGTAGAGAGGTGGGGTTGTGGGAGGGTGGTATCTGTGTGGTGTGTATGTATATGTATGTATTTTTGCATATATGTGTGTGTCTGTGTGTGGAGGCCAGAGGTTGATTTGGGGTGTTCTTGGCCATTCTCCATCTAATCTGTTGAGGCAGGGACTCTCATCTAAAGCCAGAGCTTGCATATTTGGCTAGTCTAGCTTACTTCAGGGATCTCCAGAGTCTGCCTGAAGTGCTGGGATTACAGGCAGGCTGCTGTACCTGCCCTGCATTTCCGTGGATACTGGAGATCTGACTCCTCATGCTTGTGTGGGGAGCACTTTATCTACTAAGGCATCTCTCCAGGTGCTCCCCCTTTTAATAAGTTAATGATGGCAAGATGGCTCAGTGGGTAAAGGTGATTGCTGACAAAGCCCGAGGACCTGAGATGGATGCCCAGGACTCCTACAAGTTGTCCTCTGACCCCTCCACACGCAACATGCATGTTTCTGCACATGTGTGCACGCACACACACAATAAATATAATAAAAATTTTAAAGATAAAGTTGATTTTATTTTGTATCATTATTTTTGCTTATTATCTGTGTGTTTATAGATGGGATCTTTCTATGCACCCAAGCTGGCTACATACTCTAGGCACCTTGCTCTTGCACATTCTCCTGCCTTAGCTTCCAGAGTGCTGAGATGATAGGCAGGTGCACCATGCTGGGACTTTTTTGTCATTAAATGTTAGTTATATATTTAATCTTATTTTTTCAGGGAGGTCTTGTGTATTACATGCCGGCATTAACCTTGTCTAAGGATGACCTTGAACTTGGTATCCTCTTGTCTCTACTTCCCAAGTGTTGGGATTACAGGTGTGTTCATGCTGTGCCTGGTGTATGTGCTGCTGGGGTTTGAACACAGGGACCTTGAACATGCTAGGCAAACACGGCCAACTGAGTACATGCCCAGCCCCAACTTTACTTTTTTCTTTTTTTGGTTTTTTAAGACAGGGTTTCTCTGTGTAGCTTTGGAGCCTATCCTGGCAATTGCTCTGTAGACCAGGCTGGCCTTGAATTCACAGATAAACTTTACTTTTTGTTTTTTAGTTTTTTTGTTTGTCTGCTAGCTTGTTTTGAGACAGGGTCTCACCATGTAGCTCCAGCCGTCTGAAATTCACTGTGTAGACCAGGCAAGCCTTGAACTCAGGGTTATACCTGCTTCTGACTCTGGAGTGCGGGGATTGTGCGCTACCACTAGCCAAACTTACTTTTAACTTGTGAATTATCATTAACACTGTTACCAAGCAGTCAACTATACTGGAGTAAATGGTGGTCATGGGACCACCATTCTGTTGCCTTTATGAACCCTGCACTTGGCTTTACCACAGCTCTATTTACTAAAGAATGCTAGTTGGGCGATGGTGGCGCATGTCTAATCCCAGCACTTGGGATGCAGAGGCAGGCAGATCTCTGTGAGTTGGAGACCAGTCTGGACCAGTCTGA